TGAACTCCGAGTACTTCAGCGAGGGAAGGCGCCGAGAGATATTCAACCATTACCAGCTGAGGAAGCTCACCCTGGAGCAAATCCGAGTCATGTTGGAGGAGGAAATGAAAAAATGGGTCCCCATCAAGTTCCCAGCCCTGAGAGGCAGCGTCAGCGCTTACCACCTGGTGGAAACAGGCGTCATCGACAAGGCCCTGTTTGAGAAGGTATTGGAGGGATCCGTCACGCCAGAGGAAGTCCTGCACATGGACTCCGTCAGGAAGTACCTCTATGGTTCCGGCAGCATCGGAGGGATTGTACTCCAGCCATCCAACCAGAGGTTAAGCATTTATGAGGCCATGAAGAAAAACATCATGGTACCAGCAGTAGCCCTCCCGCTGCTAGAGGCCCAGCACAGACTTCATCATGGACCCGGTGAACAACCAGAAACTCTGCGTGGATGATGCCGTCAAGGAGGGGGTCATTGGGCCAGAGGTCCACGAGAAGCTGCAGCATGCAGAAGGGGCTGTGACAGGCTACAAAGACCCTTTCACAGGCGAGAAGATACCCCTGTTCCAGGCGATGAAGAAGGGCCTGATTGCTGACAAACAGGCCATGCAGTTGATGGAGGTACAGATGGCTACAGGAGGCATCATTGACCCAACGTGTGGCCACCATATCCCCACAGAGTCTGCCCAGAAGCGAGGGTGCCTGGATGAGGACACAAGCAAGGCCCTTTCTAAGCCCACCGAAGACAACAGGGCCTTCTGTGCCCCGGACAGCAAAGAGACCGTGACCTACGCCGAGCTCATCAAGCGCTGCCAGAAGGACGAGGTTGCCGGCTTCCTTTTTTGGCAGCGGCTCCTGCCTACACCGAGGAACAAATCCAACGGATCTTCAAGGAAACTGTGGTGAAGGAAAAAGGGGTCTCTCTCTGGGAGCTAATCCACTCCGGGTATTTCACCGAGGAGCAGAGGAGTGACTTCGTGGAGAGGTTCCGGTCCGAGGAGATGTCACTGCAGCAGCTGGTTGCTCTCGTGCTCAGACTGGTCGGGGAGATGGAGATGAAGGCCCGCACCCACATCACCTTGGAGGGCCTGTGGGGCCCCGTCCCCGCGGTCTGGCTGCTGGACGCCGGCATCATTACCGAGAAGACGTTTGAAGAACTGGCTCGGGGCACAAGAACTCCCGAGGAAGTGGCTGCAACGGAGAGCGTGAGGAGGTACCTGCAGGGCACGGGCAGCATTGCCGGGGTGCTCATAGAAGCATCCAACAAGAAGATGAGCTTTTACGACGCCATGAAAAACAATCTCCTCCTCCCTGGGGCTGCTGTGAGGCTGCTGGAAGCTCAGGCAGCCACAGGATCCCTGACCGACCCGGCGACAAACCAGAGACTCAGCGTGAGGGACGCCGTGAAAGCAGCTCTTGTCGGGGAAGAGCTCACCGAGAAACTCCTTCTGGCTGAGAGGGCGGTGACCGGCTACACAGACCCCTACACGGGGGGCTCCATCTCGCTTTGCCAAGCGCTCAGGAAAGAGCTGATTCCCCTGGGAGATGCGGTTCCCTTGCTAGAGGCCCAGCTGGCCACAGGAGGGGTCATTGACCCCGTCCACCACCATCACCTTCCACTCCAGGCTGCGTGCAGATACGGCTTCTACGACGAGGAGCTGAACCAAACTCTCTCTCAGCTGAATGACAGCACCAAAATCTATTTTGACCCAAACACAAAGGAGAACGTGACCTACCAGCAGCTGAAGGACAGGTGTGTTCGTGAGGCCGAGTCAGGTCTTTGGCTCCTTCCTCTGTCGGAAAATGCAATGTTCTGCGTGGATGAAGAAACCATGGAGGTGCTGAAATCTGTGACTGTTTGTGTCAACACAGGGCGGTTCAAAGGACAGACGGTGTCAGTCTGGGACCTTCTCAACTCTGAATACCTCTCGGACAGCAAGAGAAGAGAGCTAGTGCAGAAGTACAAAGATGAGAACACTGAAGTGCTCCATGAGATCGTAACGATTGTCACCAAAATCATCGAAGAGACTGAGACACAAGGCAAGAAGTTTGCATTCAAGGGCCTGCGGAAAAGAGTATCTGCCAATGATCTCTTCCAGTCTCAACTGATAGACAAAAAAACCCTCGATGAGCTCAACCAGGGGAAGAAAACCGTCAAAGAAGTCACTGAAATGGACTCTGTCCGCAGGTACCTGGAGGGCAGCAACTTCATAGCAGGGGTCCTGATACAGCCGAGCAACGAGAAGATGAGCATCTACCAGGCCATGAGGAAGGGCATCCTGAGGCCAGGGACAGCACTGGTGCTGCTGGAGGCGCAGGCTGCCACCGGCTACATCATCGACCCGGAGAAGAACAAGAAGTTTTCAGTGGAGGAAGCATTAACTGCAGGTCTGATCGGAGGGGAGATTTTCGAGAAGCTGCTGTCAGCTGAGAGGGCCGTGACGGGCTACACCGACCCCTACACCGGCGAAAGCCCCCATGTCCCTGTTTGAAGCGATGAACCAAGGACTGATTGTGAAGAGCCACGGCATCCGCCTGCTCGAGGCCCAGATCGCCACCGGCGGCATCATCGACCCCGTGCACAGCCACCGTCTCCCGGTGGAGGTGGCCTATCGGCGCGGCTACTTCGACCAGGAGATGAACCAGATCCTCTCCGACCCCACCGACGACACCAAGGGCTTCTTCGACCCCAACACCCACGAGAACCTCACCTACATGCAGCTCCTGGAGAGGTGTGTCCAAGATTCGGAGACTGGGTTGCACATGCTACAAGTTGTACAGGAAGGAGGAAAGTACTTCTACATTGACGAGGTTACAAAGCAGGTCTTGCGCTCAAGGCCCCTGGAAGTGAAAGTTGGAAAGTTTAAGGACCAGACTGTTTCCATCTGGGAAGTTCTCTGCTCTCATTACATCTCCGAGCAGAAAAGGAAAGAACTCGTGATGCAGTACAAATGCAAAACCCTCACGCTGGAAGATCTTACAGCCCTCATCCTCAAAATAATTGAGGATACAGAGCAAAGGGCAGAAGCCCTCAAGGTGAAAGGACTCCGGGGGGATGTGTCAGTGTCGGAACTGTTTGACTCTGAGATAATTGACAAGAAAACTTTGGATCAGCTGCAGGATGGGAGTCTCACGCTTGCCAGCCTCACAAAGAGGGACGCGGTAAAACGGTACTTGGATGGCACTGGATGCATCGCCGGGGTTCTGCTCCCATCAAGGAAAGAGAAGATGAGCATCTACCAGGCCCTGAAGAAGGGCCTCCTGACAGAGCCATGTGCACTGGGGCTGCTGGAGGCACAGGCTGCCACCGGTTTTCTGATTGACCCCCTGAAGAATAAGAAGCTCTCCGTGGATGAGGCCGTCTCGTCCGGGCTGGTGGGCAGCGAGCTGCACGAGAAACTCCTGTTGGCAGAGAAAGCTGTGACGGGCTACACAGATCCTCAGGCAGGAAATAAAATATCCCTCTTCCAGGCCATGAGGCAAAAGGTAACAGCCAAGGAGCACGGCGTGCGCCTGCTCGAGGCCCAGATCGCCACCGGTGGCATCATTGACCCCGTGCACAGCCACCGCCTGCCCGTGGAGGTGGCCAACCGGCGCGGCTACTTGGATGATGACATGTTTCTCCTCCTTTCTGATCCGGATCATGGTAGCAAAGGTTTTATAGACCCAAACACCCATGAGAAGATCAGTTACAGTCAGCTCCTACAGAGATGTTCCAAAGACAGAGACACCGGATGGTACCTGCTGCAGGTCATGGGAAAAAGCGATGACTATTTCTACATTGATGAGCAAACAAAAAAAGCCCTTTCGTCTACCAAGGTACAAGTGTCTGTTGGAAAATACAAAGGACACGTGTTATCACTGTGGGAACTTCTCTGCTCGGAGTACATCACAGAAGAGAAAAGGAAAGAACTGGTGAAAAAATATAAACAGGAATCCCACCATATCCTACAGGGCATCATTGATACAATACTGAAGATCATCAAAGAAAAAGAAGAGGACAGAAGTGACGTCTGGTTCCAAGGGCTCAGACAACAAATAACAGCTTCAGAACTTCTCAGTGCTCAGATAATTACAGAAGAAACAATGGAAAAACTCCACGAAGGAAAAGAGACGGTGGAAGAAATAGCACGAATGGATACCGTGAGAAGATACCTTGAGGGGACTGGAAGCATCGCCGGCGTGCTAGTGCCTTCCAAGGCCGACCCCGCCAAGATGGAGAAGATGAGCATCTACCAGGCCATGTGGAAGGGCATCCTGAGGCCAGGGACAGCACTGGTGCTACTGGAGGCGCAGGCTGCCACCGGCTACATCATCGACCCACTCACCAACCAGAAGCTCTCCGTGGACGAGGCCGTCTCATCTGGGCTGGTGGGCAGCGAGCTGCAAAAGAAACTTCTTAGTGCAGAGAGAGCCGTGACGGGCTACACCCATCCCTGCACGGGACAAAAGATGTCCCTCTTCCAGGCCATGAAGAAGGAGCTCA